AGCAGGCCATTACCAAACCAGGAGAGAAGAAAGAAAAAAAAAACAGTTACATCTGACAGTCTAACAATGGACTGGAACTTCCTGGATACCAAGTTAATCAAGCGGCTAGATGCCTGGATTAGCTATTATGCATCATCTGCTGCTAGATTGATCTTGCTTAATTCGAGTCTCGATGGTATACCTTCTTTTCTATGTCTATGATCCTCCTTAACAAGACTTTTACTGAGAAGATGAATGTACATCGTAGAAGGTTTTTCTAGAGGAAAAGGAGGAATAAGCGTGCCTACCACATGGTCAAGTGGACTAGGGTGTGTCGATCTAAGTGTATTGGGGGCTTAGGGATTAAAGATTTACATAAGCAGAATGTTAGCCTACTTACAAAATGGTGGCGGAAACGAGACTGAGAATGGTCTTTAGCGGAAAATTGTGCATGTTATGTATTTTCGTCGCCGCACTGTGGCTACGGATCCCCCTCGTAACTCTGACTCTCCTTGTTGGAAAGCTATTATGAAGGTCAAGGAGGTATACCTTGCTGGCAGAAATATCATGATTAACAAAGGGAATCTGGTGAGACTGTGGTTTGATTGTTGGGCTCGGAGGTGTCCTTTAAAACTCGGTTCCCTGCGCTTTTTGATATTTGTCAAAAAGCAAATTGTACCCTTGCTGAATTTACTTAGGAGGGGTGTGAATTGCTGTTTTGTCGTACACTTTTTGGAAATCTTAGTATATAGTGGCAGGAGATTGTGCCATGTGCATGGTTCTTTTGTGATCGCCCTGGCTCTATAACCTGGTCTGGAAATGGTGTGTTTACTATAAAATTAGTCTATTAGTGGCTTGAGCGTGATCTTGTTGGGCCCAACTTTCAGTGGGTTTGGACAGCTTCTATTTTGTTAAAGATTAAGATTTTTATGTAGCAGTTGGTTTAAGATGATGTCTCCACTTGCTTTAATTCACATAAACGTAACGGGAGGGAGGGTTATCCAGCTTGCTTTTTTTGTACTGGTGTAGAAATTGCTAATCACTTGTTCTTTGGGTGCTCTTTTGCTCGCTCTATTTGGGGTTTTTTTTGCTTGGCTATTAGTGTTGCATGCTGCCCTAACTATCTCTGGTAGTGTTGATCATGGTTATATTACTATTTTCCTAGTGGGAAGAAGTTCTATATAATAATTGTTGTGGGTTTGATGCCTGTTGGGTTTAGTTTGTTAGGCCTTTTGCTTCTTGGGACCTAGATCTAATGTCGTTAATGCTCGTGGGTACTGTTAGCAGGTTTTTGCCCCGTAGTAGATGTCCCTTGAGCATCTATGGCGGGTTTTCTGTTAATGCTCCAACTCGTTGTAGCCCTTTCTCGTCTCTTGGTGACGTACTTTCTTGGATTATGTGGTTGGTTTCTTTTACTGAATAATTCCGTTAAGAAAACATCTAGCAGTCTAGGTAAGGTAATAGCCCACTGGCTCATCAGTTGCTTAATTTCTTGATTCTTGACTCGGTGACACCAAAGCAGTAGCAACGCAGAGGCCACATAATAAGTATACATGTCCGGCCAAAAAAATTCTCGTAAGTTTGCGCATTTCCGACGTTCCAGAGAGTCACCGCAGAAGCAACGAAAATAATTCGCCAGAGCCTACCAAACCTTGCAATGGGTGCATCCATATGAATGAAGTCACGTATGTTTGAGGCCGCACCTGCAGCGTGTACCAAGCCAAGCTTTCCCCATATGAAAGTTTCTCTGTTTTGCCTATGCCTTATAGTTTGATACGTAATTTGAAGCATTGAGGGAGGGGTGTGTTTCATCTACTGGCCACCTTTTACATTTTGCAATGTTTTAGAAGTGTCGGATTTGGGGTTCCGGCAAAACCCTTGAGGTTCGAACACTGGGGTGCGCACAAAGATCTCTCCCCCTCTCTAGCTCGCACACTCCACGATCTCACGGCCTAGCTCAACGAACCCAAAGAACACGAGACATAAGATTTATACTAGTTTGGGCCACCGTTGTGGTGTAATACCCTACTCCAGTGTGGTGTGGTGGATTGCCTTTTGGACTGAGGATGAACCGTTATAAGGGAAGAACAGCCTCCTGAGGAGAGGTGTTCTTGTGCTTGGTGAACTTGTGTGGTTGGGGATGATCTGGATGAGCTCTCCCCTTCTATGGTGGTGGCTAGTCCTATTTATAGAGGCCCTGGTCCGCTTCCCAAATATTGAGCGGGAAGGGATCCCACAACGGCCAAATTCGGAGGGAGACAACTAGTACAAGTTATCCTGACAAAAGTAGTCTTCTCCTGCCAAAGGCTCTGGTGGTGACGCCGTCTTGGGCTCCATGGTGACCTTCGTCCTACTGTCCGGCTGGTCTTGGTCTTGTTGCACCGATATGGAAACCTTTGCCTGATGCCTCGAGACTCCTCGCCTGCGCTTGCCTCTTTGGCACTAAGGGAGTCCTGGATTAGGGGGTGTCCGGATGGCCGGACTATACCTTCAGCCGGACTCCTGGACTATGAAGATACAAGATTGAAGACTTCGTCCCGTGTCCGAAAGGGAATTTCCTTGGCGTGGAAGGCAAGCTTGGCGATACGGATATGTAGATCTCCTACCATTGTAACCGACTTTGTGTAACCCTAACCCTCTCTGGTGTCTATATAAACCGGAGGGTTTTAGTCCGTAGGACAACATACAGAACAATCATACCATAGGCTAGCTTCTAGGGTTTAGGCTCTCTGATCTCGTGGTAGATCTACTCTTGTACTACCCATATCATCAATATTAATCAAGCAGGACGTAGAGTTTTACCTCCATCAAGAGGGCCCGAACCTGGGTAAAACTTCGTGTCCCTTGCCTCCTGTTACCATCCAGCCTAGACGCACAGTTCGGGACCCCCTACCCGAGATCCGCCTGTTTTGACACCGACATTGGTGCTTTCATTGAGAGTTCCTTTGTGTCATCGCCTTCAGGCTTGATGGCTCCTACGATCATCAATGGCGATGCAGTCCAGGGTGAGACCTTCCTCCCTGGACAGATCTTCGTCTTCGGCGGCTTCGCACTGCAGGCCAATTCACTAGGCCATCTGGAGCAGATCGAAAGGTACGCCCCTGGCCGTCAGGTCAGATTTGGAAGTTTAAACTACACGGCTGACATCCGCGGGGACTTGATCTTCAACGGATTCGAGCCACTGCCGAGCGTGCCGCACTGTCACGACGAGCATGATCTAGCTCTGCCGCCGGACAGTGCCCTGGAGGCCGCACCCGCATCGGCTTCGACCCTTAATTCGGAGCCAGCTGCGCCGATCAAGGATGGGATGTTGGACGCCGCCTCGGGGACTGCGATCCCAATGGTGATCGAGCCGAACATCAGCCCCGCACCCCGCGAGACTCGTGACTCCAAGGAGCCGGACTCCTCTCCGGACTCCGAACCCTCCACGCCCCTGCCGATCGAATCCGATTGGGCGCTGATCATGGAGTTTACTGCCGTGGACATCTTTCAGCACTCGCCTTTCGGCGATATTCTGAAGACACTAAAGTCTCTCTCTTTATCAGGAGAGCCCTGGCTGGACTACGGTCAGCAAGGTTGGGATACGGACGATGAAGAAATTCAAAGCCCACCCACCACCCACTTTGTAGCCACTTTCGACGATTTAACCGACATGCTCGACTTCGACTCCGAAGACATCGACGGTATGGACGCCGATGAAGGAGACGATGAAGAACCAGCGCCTATTGGGCCCTGGAAAGCCACCTCGTCATATGACATATACATGATGGACACCCCAAAAGAAGGAGATGGCGATGGAACAGCGGAGGATGACCCCTCCAAGAAACAGCCTAAGCGCCGGCGTCAGCGGCGTCGCTCAAAATCCCGCCAAAACAAATACGGTGACTCCAGCACGGGAGATAATAATACTCCGGAAAGTGCCGAAGAAAACCCCCTCCAGCAAGATTTAGCACAGGAGGATGGAGAAACCAGCCCTCATGAGAGAGAAGCAGACAGAGAGGTCGAGGACGATAATCATATGCCTCCCTCCGAAGACGAGGCAAGCCTCGACGACGACGAATTCGTCGTGCCAGAGGATCCCGTCGAGCAAGAGCGTTTTCAACGCAGGCTTATGGCCACGGCAAGAAGCCTCAAGAAAAAACAGCAATAGCTTAGAGCTGATCAAGATTTGCTAGTTGACAGATGGACTGAAGTCCTTGCGGCCGAAGAGCATAAACTCGAACGCCCCTCCAAGAGCTAGATATGTTGGAGGACAAGGCAAGGCAAACAAGATCGATCTACGGATCGCGTGGGCGCCCCATGACTCGAGACGGTAACCGTCACGCCGGACACAAATCCGGTAGGGCCGAACACAGTAGACAAAGCTCATCGGAGCTACGTCGTGATATAGCCCAGTACAGAGGCGCCGCACAC